AATTTGTGGTATAATCAGATAATTAATGATCCAGGGTGCCGGGGGGGGGAGGGGGGGCAGGTGGGAGAGGTCCTTGGAGTGGCTTGAATCTCACTGAATCTAAGACACCGTCAGATGCTGGATGCAGGGTTCTTTTCCGAGACATCCCGAGAGGGAAAATAAAGCTGCCAACCACACTCTTGATAACGCACTGGCTGGATGAGGCACCCTTACTCTGTGATAGGGTGAGGGTGTCTTAAAATCGCTGAAATGTGGAACCTGCCCCCTGCACTCCCCAAAGCTTATTAACCCCTTAACTGTCTCCCAGGATGTGTGTGTGTGTGTGTGTGTGTGTGTGTGTGTACACGCGCGCGTGTGCATGCGTGCGTTTGTGTGTGAGTGCGCACACGCACGCGTCAGAGATGCCTGGGCTGTCTTTGCTCTATGTAAATAGGGTCGTTGGATCCTTATTTTTGATTAAGTTCTGATTTTTTTGGTTTGTTTTCTAAGGAACTGTAATGAACAAATGTCAGGAGACCCAATGCCAAATAAAGATGTTGTATTTATTTAGTCCACGTGTAGCTTTCTGACCCAGGGGACTCACTGTCTGCGTGGGCTCTGTTACTAACCCCAGGACTACCAGCCTCACAACTGCCGCCTTCGCTTTTGCTCAGGACGCCCACGTGCCAGCCCACCCCAGCCGTCTGTGTTTCTCTCTTCCTCCCCATTCCCACCACAGGTTGCTCACCAAGGTGAAGGGTTCGTAGCCGCTGGGATCGAAGACGCTGGCCTGGCCGCCTCCTCCCCTCTTGCCCTGGCCCAACCAGGATCAAATTCTGATCAGTATTAGGGGTGGGGGGAGGTAGACACTGAACCCCCAACCTGGCCCCCCCACCCCCACCCCACTCCAAAGGCAGGGGGGGACACAACCAAACTCTGGTAATGAGGGCATGGACGGGACCCATCTTGGCCTCCAGCCCCCGTCGCCCCCATATCTTTGCCACTCCCGCACTTTCTTAGGTGAGTTTTTGCAAATAAAATGTGTTTCGCATCTTGCCGGCTTGGGTTGGGAAGCCTCAAAAGCGCATGGGAAGGAAGCACTCAGGCCTCATGGGCACGATCCATCGATCCATCGAAAAGCTTTTATTAAAAACCCCCGGGGGCGGTGGGGGTGGCGTGGCAGGGAGGCTCAGTCTTGTTGCTTGGTTCGGGAGGCCTCGGCGTTGGCCCGGAGCACAGCCCCCGGGGACGGGTAGGGGCGCTGCTGGAAGAGGGGCCCTGCTGCTGTCGTGTCTGCGCCCGTCTTGGCCTCATTCCGCTTGGGGAGTCCTGTTGACCATGTGCCCCTGGGGGTGAGACGGAGGTTAGAAAATAGGGGTCAGGGCTTGAGAATATGGGATGTGGTAGGCACTCCGCACTCTCCCCCCTCCCCTCTACTCCAGCAACTGACAAATGGGGGAAGGAGATAGGAGAAGGATGGTCACCGGCGCAAGGGAGTCCTGAGCAAAGGGAAGGGCTCGTGAGGGGTTCGCATTTACCGGGGTGCATCCGAGTATGAGCTGGGGTCCATAGGGTCTAACTCTTCATCCTTCCGGCTCGCCACTGAGGAAGGAGGTGGCAGAGTGAGGTTTTCGGTAGAGGCCCAAGGAGCCCCGATCACCAAGCTCCCCATCCCAGGAAGAAAGGGAGCGCATGTCTGTGTGGCCTGCAGCACCGTGCCCCAGGCCCCGGGTTCGGGCCATCGCGGGAGCAAAGTGAGGGCCTGCCCCACGTGGCACGCCCATGGCGCCCCCCCTGCCTGAGTCCTGGCCCTGCTGCCCAGCTTACCCTTCTTGCTCTTGGGGTAGGGGGCCAGCTCTTCCCGGCGGTGGTGGCGCCGCTCCTTGCTCTCTTCCCGGTCCGACTTGTCGTACCCCCGGTCCCGGTCCCGATCCCTGTCCCGCTCTCTCTCTCTGTCCACTTTGTCGTAACCACGCTCTCGGTCTCGGTCCGACTTCTCGTGGCTCCGGTCTGACTTCTCGTGGCCCCGGTCTGACTTCTCGTGGCCCCGGTCCGACTTCTCGTGGCCCCGGTCCGACTTCTCCTCAGCATCTGGGGAGGCAAAAGCCTTGAAGTGGCCTTCGTCCTCCCATCTCAGGCCCCCAGCAGCCTCTGCCTTCCAACAGCGCCCCCTTGCCTGGGGTTGGGCCTGCCTGTCTCACCTGCCCCTGCCCCAAAGCACTGTCGTTTTTCCGAGCCCGCTCTGAGAACTGCAGAACCGCCGGATCTGCCAGCTCACCTGCATTACTGGTCCTGAGCTTCTTGGCCGATTTGGTAACGACGGAGTTGGGGTCGTGTGGGGAGAGCCAGGACACGAGGTCTGTGTCCACGTTCCAGTAGTAAGGGAGCCCGCTGCGGGGCGGGGGGGGGGGGTGGTGTCAGCGCAGGCGTCCTCTCCTCACAGCCTCAACTCCTGTCTCCCCAGTCTCTACTATACCTGCCCCATGTCAGGACCCCGGAGGGGGGACCCCCAGACCTCTTCCCTATGTTCCCTGTTTACCCCGAGGCCAGGGACGACACAGGAAAGGTGAAGTCAGCCGTCAGCTCCGCCCCCCCCTCCCCCCCAGTTCCCCAGGCTCACCAGGAAGGGTCAAACACCTTGTACCAGCTTGGTGGCAGGCCCTCCAACCGGGTGGCCTCATAGTCCACAGGGTCATCATCGTAGTCCTCAGCAATGATCTCTTCCTCTGGTTCTGGCAGAATAGCGGGGTGGAGGAAAGCAGTCAAGGACCAGAGGGATTCTCATCCTATAGTCAGAGCCTGGAGAGACACTCAAATCCACGTGGACCACGTGTGGGGGGTGGGGGAGTGCATCAGGTCTCACCTGCTGTGGCGAATATCACATTCCAAATCCAAGTGTCTGAACATCAGGGGATTTGCCAAAAAATGTACCTAAATCTCTTCTGTTTCTGGGTTTGGATAAGATTTGAGATTTGATACTGTTACCCCGACCTATCTGATTTCAGGATTTATACAAGGATTCATCAAGACAAACGTAGCCTCCAGTTCCTGCATTCAGGAAGCATGTGACACCATGCTATCCAAATCTATTTGGATAAAATGAATTTGAACAGTAAGGGGTTGTTCTGAAAATACGTCCAAATCTATTCGGCTCCCAAGCTTGGCAAATCCGGGGTTTCTGATTCTGTCTATTGAGTGGCAAGTTTGGACAGCAAGGGATATATCCAAACACTGCTCTGAATCCATTCAGGTCCTAGGCCTGACACATAGCAGGCCCGCAGCAGCTGTCAGTTACTATCGGTAAAATAAAAGGCGTATGTTGTCAGCTTGGTACATGACCCTCAGTAGGCCTACCACAGATTTCAGCTGTGGACAGAACTAACAATGAAAGGTGTATGTCAGCAACAGCATACTGCCTGTCACACAATAGGCCCAAAGTAGATCTGAGCTATAATCACCAGTGTTGTTAGTAAGATGTATATTCCATCAGCGCAGGGCCCAGTACTCGATAGGCTTAAAATAAATTATCAGTGATCCTCATCAGTATTATTAACCACAAGATCTATGCGACGCACAGCGTAGCTTATAACAGATGGCATTTATCAATGAGGTGAAAATAAGATGGATTTTCCAGTGCCTCGCACACTGTAGCCCAAAACAGATGCCGAAAAAAGAAGATGCCGCTTACTGACAATGAGGTGTAAATATTAGCAGGAGCAGCCCAGTAGGCATAAATGATAGATCCTCTCATTGTCTTCCACCGTTAGCCATAATGTGTATACCAAGCACTCAGGCCCAAAATACATGTCAGCTACTGATGCGGTGAACAATAAGGTATAGATCACCAGCATCACGCCTGGCACCACAGTAGGTTTAAAAAAAGGTAATCACTAGGGTAAAGAACAAAGTATCAGCATCCCGCTACAGTCTACAGAAGATGTAAGCTATCTTTACCGTAGGATACTTTGTAACCACTTACACGGATTGGTAGATGGATTGCACGTGGCATACAATAGCCCCCCCCCAAAAGGCATTAGCTGTCAATATTAACCACGAAATATGTATTCCCCACCCCCACCCCCGCCCGCAGTAGGAATGGATGTCAGGAAGCCATATTGCTAACAATGTCCGCCACCCCACTGATTGGTGCGCAATAGGCCTATGCTAGGTATCGAGTGGCGGTATCAACAACAAAGTGCCTGCCAAGCCTGGCACATGGTAGGCCCATCTGCTTTAAGCTCGCTCACCGGGCTCCAGATGTTTGAGGATGCCTCTCTTGGCCAAGCGGGTCTGCAGCGCAACAGGCAGCGGCATAGTGGATAGCAGAGAGACCTAGGGACGGACGGATGGACAGGCACACGCACGCACACACACAAAAACAACTCAAATGAGGATTCAAATCCCGATCCTAAAAATCAAGCGCCTCCTCCCAGCATGTACTCATCTGGACCCCCACTTACCCACCTGCACCAACAGCTGGCTGGACGGAACCGATGCGCTAAAAGGTGGAAGATAGGTGCAATGCCACCCAAGCTCCCACCGACCCCCGCCTCGAGGCTGGGTGTTCTAGGACCCAGTTCCCCTCCCGGGCCCAGGCTCCGCCCACCGCCGAAGGGGCCAAGCTCAGTTCCCCCGCGCCCCAGGAATGGGCTCACCCAACGTCTCCCAAAGACTGCCGGGTGGGAGGAACCAAAGCGTTGGGACGGGGGGAGCAGAGTGCAGCACCTCCTCCAGCTGCAAAAAATGCACCCACCCCGACATTACCAATGCAATCACGCGAGTAGTGGAAGGCTGTCAGACCGGCGGCCCCTCCCTTGTCGCGGCTAGGATCACCAGCACCACACGACTGCTTTCTTCCAAAGCACGGAACGACGTCCTCCCTCCCCGAGGCTTGAAGAAGCTGGGCCGGCGCTCAGGCTGCGGTACAGATGACGCAAACCTGGGGGGCCAATGAGAGCGTGGCCCTGGCCTGACGAGCGCCAAGCGACCCAATCGCAGGCCTGGAATGGGTGGAGCGCTCGGGCGCCTGTGTGCGTTTACGGCGGGGGCGTGGCGCGGCCGAGGCTTAGCCAGACTGCGCGGCCGGACGCCGGCGCCATGGAGGAGTACGCTCGGGAGCCTTGGTACGGCGATGGGCACAGGCCCCGCGACTGTTGCTGCGGCGCCACGGCCGGCTGTGGGAGGTGGGCGGGGGAGGCGCCGGCCACACCGCGCCACGTCCCAGACTCGGGAGACCCTTAAACATTTGTGGTCTCCTTCCGCTCCCCTCCGCTTCGTTCCTCCCACTCGGGCTCCGTTAAGAGGGGCTGCAGCCGTGTGCCTGGCGACGGTGCGGTGCCGGACCAACCGCTCCCAAGTGTCCTCGGACTCCGTTATCTCCCCCAGTTCATTTTTGATAACGAAAAGAGACGCGCTGGTCGAATCCATTCCAGCCCGGGGGGGTGGTGGCGGTTGTCAAGCGGAAATCCCCACGCGCGCGGCTTTCCCGAGGGTCGCTTTAGCGAATGGGGGCGGGGCCTGGGTGAACCTCTTGTGGACAAGCCGGATCCTCCCCCTCCGTCTGCTCTTGGTTTTTCCCAGTTGGGGCGGGTTGAAAAAGAGGGAAGAGGGCGGGGTTTGGTCGGACTTGCTCATTGCCGGAGACGGGGGTGCGACCCTGTCCTGCTTTAATAACAGTACTAGCAAATTAACGCTTCCACGGCGCTGATCCAAACGTGCCCACTCCGCATGTATCAGTTGATTGACTCTTTGGTAGTAGGAAGGCAGTTGGCTGATTCCTTGGTTGGCTGCGAGGGGAGGGGCAGACAGGGCCAAGACTAATGTTTTTCCCCTTTTGCACCATTTCTTGCTGAAATGAGGGGGGGACCTAATATTATCTGAATTGCTGCTTCCCATTCGAGTGACTTGCCTTCTCCCAGTTGGAAAGAGTCCATGCAACATGGGAGGGAGAAGAGGGGCTCACTTAACCCCACCCTCCCCTTTCGGCTTACAGCCCCTGGCGAATTGTGGACGATTGCGGAGGAGCCTTCACTATGGGTGTCATCGGCGGTGGAGTCTTCCAGGCCATCAAGGGCTTCCGCAATGCCCCTGTCGTGAGTCAGTGGCCGTCCCTGGGTGGTGCAGGGGTCCTGCCCTGCCCACACGGGCGGGATACTGCGCTGAAAACTGCTTGGAGCTGCCATGACTTACTCATTCTGGTGCCTGCTACCCTACTGTGTGCCAGGCCTGGCTCCAGGATCTGTGGTTTGGGAAGAACTGCAAATATGGCCCTGTGTCCTTCGCCCCCACCACCCAACTGGGGCTCCTCTGTGGAAATACCGTGCTGTCAAAACGATCCCAAATCCTCAATGTATGTGCAAAGCCAGAGAGATTTTCCCCAGAGGCAGATTACCTGGATACAGGGAAGTGACAGGAGTTTAACTGGCAGAAGGAGGACAGCCTTAAAGTTAAGAAAATGCGTTTAACGTAACCTAATCAATTCTCTGTCTGCCCACCCTCTTCCAAGATCTTATCAAACATCATGCCATTTGCCAGGGTCTCTGCAATTTATATATCTGGTCCTGTCCCTCCCCTCAACTCCTGGAACTCTCTCCTAGATCTTTGCCCAGATTTCCTGTTCCCATCCTCAGGGTCTCAGCACAAACCCCCCCCCCCCTTTTTAGAGTCCTTTCCTGACCCCTCAGTCATTATCATGTCTCTTGATCCCATTTCCTCCAGGGTGTGTATTGCTGTGTGAAGCTATCTTGTTGATCTGTACCTCTGCTGGGGATCTGTACCTCTGCTGGGGATCTGTCTCTCCCACTGTAACGTGAGCTCTGAGAGGGCAGGGGCTAGGTCTGTCTCAATCACCATCCCTGCATTACAGCATGGTGCCTGGCGCTTAGGTGCTATCGATCACTGAATGAATGAGAACTTCTCAACCCACGGCTGAGAACGCCCATGTGAGGGTGCTCCCCAGCCTCTTGAGTTCTCGACCCCTGCTCCGCATCTCTACTCCTGATACCCCTGACCTGTCGTGTTCCCTCTCTCAAAAGCTAGAAACCCTGCGTGCCAGGGCCCTCATCCCTGTTCTGACTCCCTGCCTCCTCACTTTTCCCAGGGAATTCGGCACCGACTGAGAGGTAGTGCCAACGCTGTGAGGATCCGAGCCCCCCAGATTGGAGGTGAGAGGCTTGGAGAGACCTAGGAGCTGGGATGCAGAGTTGGGGGTGGTTGCTCCTGTGGTTCTAGACTGCAAATTGGGGTCCACATTCCAGCCCCAGCTCTGCCTGGGACTTCCAGGACAGTGATGTTTCCCAGTAATTTAATATGGAGGGGCAGGAGTGTGGATTCCGGAGTTTAAATCCAGGCCCCGGATCTTCCCTGAGGCATGACTTTGGGTTCGTGGCTTCACCTCTCCAAACCTCATCGGTAAGGTGGGGATGGTGATAGCAGTGACCACCTAAATTGTTTTGTAAGTTATGTCGTTTACATTTATGTCATTTACAGAGAACTTACTAAGTGCTGGTTGCTCTGCTAAGCACTTCAATAATATTAACGAATTTAAGACTTCAGAATCAGTGCCTAGAACAGGTCCTGGTGCACAGTAGGGCCTCAAGAAACACTTTAACTACCCTAGTGTAAACCGGCTCTCATAGCCTGTTTTCGTCTCCCTTGAACCAAGATTGGAATTCCAACTCGGTGTGATGGTTAGGAAGATCAAAGTTGCTCTGTTCAAAGCCACATCAAGATAAATCTGCTTGTAAACACTTGTCAAACCCCTACAAAGGTGAGGGGAATGCCGGTGGCAATTAGAGATCGCTTGACGAAGGAGCAGCCTCGGGCAGACGGGGGGGGGGGGGGGGGGGGAATATCCCCTAGGAGTTTACTTTCTGCCTTTGTGTCCGGGTTTTTCTCCCCGTTCATTGCCAGAGTGTTGAGGCCTTGGAAAGTCCCCAGACACTGAGCTGTGGATTTTGAGGGATTCCTCAGGAACACTGATTCGGCTTCCGTCTCCCTGCAGGTAGTTTCGCGGTGTGGGGGGGCCTGTTCTCCACCATCGACTGCGGCCTGGTGCGCCTGCGGGGCAAAGAAGATCCCTGGAACTCCATCACCAGCGGAGCATTGACCGGGGCCGTGCTGGCGGCCCGCAGTGAGTGCCCCAGCCCCTGGCCCCCAGCCCCAGCCCCTTCCGCCCTGTTCTGCCTGCCCTCACCTCTTTCTCCCTGCCTCTTCACTCTCCCAGGTGGCCCATTGGCCATGGTGGGCTCAGCAATGATGGGGGGTATTCTCTTGGCCCTCATAGAGGGCGTTGGCATCCTCCTTACTCGCTACACTGCCCAGCAGTTCCGCAACGGTGAGTATCTGGCAGACGCTGCTCAGGGAGAGGTGCAAAATGCATTGCCCCTCACCCTTACCTGATTCTTTCCTCTCCAGCACCCCCATTCCTGGAGGACCCCAGCCAGCTGCCCCCTAAGGAGGGTACCCCAGCCCCAGGCTATCCCAGCTATCAGCAGTACCACTGAGGAAGTGACTGCCTGTCATCACCACCGCGGGAGCCCCTCCTCCGTTCCCTCCCCGATGATCTACCTCGAAGGGAGGGCTGGCTCCCAGTTGGCCCTGGGACCCTCCAGAGAGGGCCTCTACTCTGCTCCCTTGTCCCAGGGTGGGGGGTGGGGCACCCCAGCTGCCCTGATGGATGGGTCCCCTTCTCAGGGCACCCCAACCCCAAGTTCACATGTAACAAGTTCTCACCCCAGCCCCTTTTCCTGGTGCCCTGATGAGTATTTAAAGCCAGTTTTGAAATGCCTGTGTTTGTACTCCTTGAGCCATGTGTGTTGGGAGCCCCTCCTTAGGACAGGGGGCAGAGCCCTCTTCAGAGACTCAGAAGCCCTAGAACTTGGAGTCCCACAGAGAGTGGGCTCTAGTAAATGTCTGCGGGATGGATGAGCAGGAGAGGGAATGAATCAAGATGTGAATAGGTACATGAATAAGGGTGTGTGGGGGCCAAGTGATGACTCGTGGGCAGACAGAGGAACAGGCTTGGGAAAGAAGTGGGTGAGCAGGAGGATTACTGGGGCGGGGAAGGGGAGTAGTTCTGCACCTTGCATCCCTGAGCCCTCCCGCCCATGCCCCCATTGCCAAGGCTGGGAAATCTGATCTCACAGTCAATTCTGGCTCTCTGGATCCCAGTCACCGCATTTGTGAATGTGATCTCCCGCTGTGGCTTCCCCATGGACCTGGGATGGAAGTAGGGGTCAGAAGGATCCAGCTTGCTGTTTTTTAAGATTGTATTTATTTGACAGAGACAGAGCGAGAGAGGGAACACAAGCAAGGGGAATGGGAGAGGGAGAAGCAGGTTTCCCGTGGAGCAGGGAACCTGATGCGGGGCTCAATCCCAGGACCCTGGGATCAGGACCTGAGCCGAAGGCAGACGCCTAACAACTGAGCCCCGCCCCCCCCCCAGGCGCCCCGAAGGATCCAGCTTTCTTGAGGAAGATGCCCTGTGTCAGTCTCCTCTTCTGTACCACAGAGCTACTTCTCTGCTGATGCTCAGTGTTGTAGTTTTTTAAGAGCAACCATAAAATAACCAGAAGAGAGTTTTCGTATTGGGGTGGGGGCATTATGGGAAAGAGATTTTTCTGGAGGGACATTGGCCCCAAACGCTGTCTCTTCTAGTGCAAGCCATTGCAAAGAGGTGATGTCCTTAGACAAAATGGCTTTCTGCGGGTAAAAATACAGAGTCCCTGACCTCCCAACGGCCCGGGGGCCCCCATGGTAGCAGAACTGCGACACGGCCCGCTTGTGCGCCTTGGTGCCAGGCAGTTGGCAGCCGCCAGACTGGAGACTCAGGGAAGCAAGGTGGGGGAGGCCTGCTGGCACTGTGAGCACAGCCCTCCCAGGGCCCCGGCGCCAGCCTTGAACTCCGAGCTCCGGGGGCGCATTGGTTTAGGACCCAGAGTCTTCCAGGCTGTGATCCTTTCTGGGCCGCTTCTGTGCAAGACCCCTTCTTCACCGCCAGGCCCCATTCCCCCTGCTTCCCCCACCCCCACCCCCACCCCCGGCGTGTCTTCAGACCCCATCCTGCGCCTATCAAACACTGCCCTGCTAGCTGTTCCCAGCCTTTCCCATCCGCGAGTCCACAAGGCCCCACTCACGCGGCTGTGGTGTCCGCAGACTATCCGCAGACCCCCTCCTGTCTTTCCTCCCTGTCCTCTAAGGATCCTGCAGGCCCCTACCTCTTTCATGTATCAACTCTGGCTCCTCTGAGGCCACATCCCTGCTGTAGCTCCCCGGTCCCCTCCAGATGGGCTGGGCTCCTATAGGCCCCTCCCAGCTGCAGCTCCCCAGCCCTCCCCAGCCTCTAGCCCGAACCTCTGCCCGGTTTCAGGCCCCGCCCCCTCCCGCTCCTTAAAGGGTCGACCCCTGCAGGTGCACCCGAACACGCGGGCCCTCCGCCCTCCTCTCGCGGCCCCGGGACCCCGTTCACTGTCTCCGGTCCCTGGAGGCCGCGGGACGCGCGGGGGCCTCGGCGCCGTTCCTGGCAACCTTCAGGCCCTTCCGCTCTGGCTCCTCGGGCCGCTGGCTGGGGGAGCGGGGCCGGGGCCGGGGTGAATAGCGGGGGACCCGGCGCAGCAACGGAGGCTCGCGGCTTCGGGAGAGAGGTGTCGGGCCTCCTAGCTGGGCCTGGGAAGCCCGGGGTCGCCCAGGTCCCCGGAGCTGGAGCCGGGGCAACGGAGGAGGGGTCAGGTCGGGTCTGCGTCCGCAGGCAGCTTCTCTTTGCCCAAGAAGGAAATGCGGGGTCAGACCCCAGGCAGTTTCCATCCGGAGGGCCTACGGAGACCGAGACCGGGAGCAGGCGCGAGTGAGTCAGAAACAGAGACGGAGAGAAATAGAAGCCGAGGGACATACCCGAAAGGAGATGGAGACTAGGAAGAGCGGGAGGCAGAGAGAGACACACAAGAGATTTACGAAGAGACAGAAACAGGAAGCTGTGTGAGGGTCAGAGGTGCAGGTCCTGGGTGGCTCAGTCGTTAAGCGTCTGCCTTCGGCTCAGGTCATGATCCCAGGGTACTGGGATCGAGCCCCGCATCGGGCTCCCTCCTTGGCGGGGAGCCTGCTTCTCCCACTCCCGCTCCCCCTGGTCATGCTATCTCTCTCTGTCAAATAAATAAAATCTTTAAAAAAAGAGAGAGAGAGAGAGAGAAATGCAGGTGGGACCTGGGAAGACCCTCAGCATCAGACGGAGGCAAACACAGGGAAGAAGGCCAGGCCCCATAGTAGTAGTGAGCTGGGCTGAAGGGCCAGGCTGACAGTGGGCGAGCAGGCTGCCCCTCCCTTCCCCTCCGGCTGAGGGGCCTCAGAGAAGCGGAGAGGAGCCCAACCTGCATCCTTTCTCCCTCTGGCTCGCTCTCTCACTCTCATCTCTGGTTTAATCCCATCTGCTTCCCACAAGGATTTCATGCCTCTCCCTCGGGTCCTTCCTTCCCATCTTCTTCCCTGCTTCGCCCGCCCCCCACCCCCTGAGGCCCAAGTTGGCCTCCGTCTGTCTTGCTCTGTCTCTCAGCCCTCCTTCCCCATTTCTCTACTTCAGGCTCCCTGGCTTGTGGCCATCTACCGGTGTGCGTGGGGCAGGTGGGTGGGGGAAGTAGCTGCTGAACAAGGAGGGTTGGTGAGATGGAAAGAATCAGGGAAGTACAACGGGGGCCAGCCCCGGCAGTGAGGTGGAGAATCACTGCCTCAGGCAGAGACGCTGAGAGGCTGGGGAGAGAGACATGGAGAAATCAGACACCGAGAGAGAATAGAAAGAATTGGGACAGAGCCCAAGAGAGGGACCAAGACAAAGCGAAGCCAGAGTTTACGGAGGTATCAAAGGAGAGACAGAGATGCAGAGAAAGAGATACCAAGAAAGGAAAAAAAAAAAAAAAACAGTAGGACAAGTGGGGAAAAGATGGGAAAAGAGAAAATGTAAGAAGGGAGATAGACATAAAGATTGGGAGAGTCAGACATCCAGCGGGGGTGAGGGAGAGAAAGGGGCAGAGAGAATCAGAACAAAACAAAGAAGTGAGAGAAATAGAGTCAGAGCAGAGAGAGGGAGAGAGAAAGCAAGAGAGACAGGAGAGTTGGACACCCATACCCTCTTTCCCTGCGTCCGGGGGTTGCTGGTCTGAGTGTTCTTATTTCCTTTGTTTTCTTAGTGGCAGCTGGAGAACAGGGCCTGACGGGGCAGGGCAGCTCCGCCAGGCCCAGCCCCAGCCCCAGCCCCAGCACCCCAGGTCATCGAAGTGGGTGGGAGGAGGCAGCCTCCCCTGGGGATACGCTTTTTGAGGGCAATGCTCTGCTGTTGTGGAGGATGGCGTCAAGGAGCCCATTTGGGGCCAGTCTCTGCAGCCGGCCCACGGGAGCCATCTCTGGGGAATCTGCCGTGTCACCAGAAGGCCCACAAGCATGTTGAGGAGGAAGGATGTGCCAATGATCCCTTCTGAGGGGACAGAGGAACCTTCCTTTTGTTACCTTCCTTATACATATGAGGAAACGGAAGGCACCAACAGGTAAAGCCGCTCGTCCATGGCTATGCTGCCTGAAAGTGGCAAAGCCGGTATCTCTACCCTTATTTATAGTGCGTAGAGTTGGAGAGACGTGTCTTGCACCATAATTTCCAACACATTATCAATCAGCATTACAGGTGCCCTTTGAAGGTTTTCACAGGCCAAGGCAACAATTTCCGAGCCCCCTTTGTTAAAGTAATAACAAAGGACTCAAGGACTGACTTCATGGAGAGCAGGTTGGCAGCAATCTTGGGCATTCACACAGGCACCTTGTGAGAGGATCGTGTGCATTCAGGTTAAGAACCTTCATCAGATTGGACCCTTCTAACGTACGCTTTTTTTGTATGTATATCTCACTAAAGAGTTAAATACCAACCAGAGCCACATGTATCAACATGGATCATTCTCGAGCCTGCAGTATGGCACAGACGAAGGAAAGCCAAAGACTGCTGTGTAGAGTACCATATTTGTAGTAAACACATGCAAACAGTATATGCACTTCATGGATCCCTAATTACATAATGAAAGAATAAAATGATGCAAGGGAATGGTCAATAAGAATCTCAGTATTGCATTTACGTCAGAGGACGAAGGGAGGATAGAATGGAATAGAGGGGCGCCTGGGTGGCTCAGTCGGTTGAGTTCTGCCTTCGGCTCGGGTCTTGATCTGGGGTTCCAGGATGATCGAGCCCCACGTTGGGCTCCCTGCTCAGCGGGGAGTCTGCTTCTCCCTCTTCTGCTCCTACCCCCAGCTTGTGCTCTCTCTCTCACACTCTGCTCTCTCTCTCAAATGAATAAATAAAAGAAAGAAAGAAAGAAAAAAAGAACGGAGTAGAGGAAGCTAACCTAGTAGGTTTCAGCTGGAGCTGAAATATTTTGTTTCTTTTTTTTAAAGATTGATTGATTTATAAGAGAGCGAGCACATGCACACATGAGTGGGGGAGGAGGGGCAGAGGGAGAGGGAGAAGCAGGCTCCTCCGCTGAGCAAGGAGCTGAACGTGGGGCTCAATCCCAGGACCCCGGGATCATGACCTGAGCCAAAAGGTAGACGCTTAACTGACTGAGCCACCATGGCGCCCTGAAATATTTCATTTCTTAAAGGAAATACATTTGGGGCAAATGAAAAAATGTTGAGAGTTCACAGGTGTCCATTATATTACTATCTTCTGCAGATTGTTGTTCATTTGAAGATATGTCATAATTTAGGAGATGAAAAAAAGAATCCTACTTGCCTTAAATTGAATATATAGATTAATTTGGG